ACTCTAGTGCAGATAAAGCGCATTTTTTAACACCCCAATTGCCCGTTGTAACATATGCCGACACTCTGTTCTCGACATATTGGCACTTAAAGTTTTGACCCTACCATTAGATATGCCTACTTTAGATGTTTCAATAGTCCTTTGTGAGTACCCTCTCCCGACAATCCGCTCTTGAGATATAAGGAATTATATCCGATTAGGATAGTTGGTAGAAAACAGTTCCTTTTGTTGAGACCTTTAATTAGAATACAATGAAAGATAAAACCAACTTTGTTTACACCTCCCCTCCACAACGCCAACTCCTCCACCCGCTGATGTCTGCAAAATCTGAGACTAATTATTGGTTATCGCATGTAAAAGTTATGCACGTTTTACGTTTACTTTCAAAAACAGAATCTCAGGAAGTAAATATCGTGGAGACCCCCCCCCCCCCTTAATACAGCGAAATTTGATGTCCGTCTGGCACACCTTCAAGGTATGAGCTTCCTATTGCAAAAAAATTCCAGGCTCTCACCATTCCCTTAAAAGTAGTTCAACACGGTAGAAGTGGGTGAGCCGGACGGACGACGGACGTACGGACGGACAAAACGCAAACAATAGCACTTTTTTTTTCTTTCTTCTTAAAAAATGCACTAAAAGTAATACATAATTAAATTTTCCCTTCAAACTCTCTTCATGTCTTCATTTTCCACTCAAACCTTACCCAATCCCTTCATAAGGCGCTCCCAGGGTTCTGAAAGTTTTTTAAAAACTTCCCCAGCGTTTCCATTGCATTCTGAAGCTCTCGGGTTAACGATTTATTTGAACCGCCTGATGCTCAAAACGTGTAGAAACCAAAAAACCCTAAGCGAGTATGCGGGAGGTTTAGAATCTTTTCTACAGGTCAATTTAATTCAGTGACATTCGCACTATCTAAAATTTCCAGAACCTTTACCCGATGGAAATTAAGCAGAATGCGCATTCTGTCGTCACTCGCAAGATTCCGGCGCTCCGATTGGCTGGTGACGAATACCAGTGCAATTTTCTGTCAAAATGCACATTGTGTCTGCACTCGAAAGGACGCTGTTGCCGAATAACAGTGCATTTTAATAGCAAACAATAGGTGCGGTCGGCACCGCACTAGTAGCGAAATATAATTATGCAAATTAGAGTTCTCTTTCATTACAATACCATGGTGTAGTGCCGGAACCTCTTAATTCTGCTTAAATGCGTTTGGACTAGATAGACCATGAAATTCAGTACTTTTTGGCCTATTCGCGAATGAAACTGCGCCTTTTTTTGAACCAAAATACACTTTTCAATCTTAGTCGCCAAAAATATCAAAATAACCAAAAAACAACGAATTGTTTTGGGAAAGAAACTCATTGAAAAACATTTTTTTCGTAGAAATTTAATGCGCGAAAAATTATGATTTGGGATCAATCACTTGACGCTCTTGTGATCCAAAACTGAATGCCCTACCGCATCTCTCCGGGACTCCACCTACTCTTTTCCTTAATTTTTTAACACGCCTACAACATGGTGCTAATGGGTTAAATCGTTAACCAATCGACTTCGTTCCCTTCACCCAATCAAGTTCGTAAACCTCCCCTATTTCAGGATTGCATATTTTGCACTTTGTGCCCGTTTTGCTCACGTAAAAGACATGAAGATTGTGTTACCGCCCGTCAAACCGGCGGCGCTATCTTTTCCAAGGTGATTAACCGGTCACGGCGTATCCGATAGTCAATTACTCCCAAAATAGAGATCCCAAAATCATTCAGAATTCATCCTGGAATTCATTGACTTACAAATTTGAAAAGAATAAAATTTTGGGATAACCATCTCTAATGGAGACACCTTCTAAGAACCATATCAGCATTAAAAAATTAAAAGCTATGGAAGAGTAGTAAGGAAGTCCTGAAAAAGTCAAGAAAGCTTTGCCTAAAAGGCAATTTCCTGGGTTAGACGCAATTGTAAGGCCCTAATGACTCTAAACACTTTTTAAAGAGATGCTGGACAACTTTCTAGATCAGATGGCATCTCTGAGAACTCCAGGTATCTTCTAAAGCTTTTTAACGCTATTCGAGAGTCTCATAAGGGTGTATCTTTCTCTTTCCAGAGCCAGTGAAATGCAAACCACATCAAATGCTTTTGAAAAACTCTCTCTTGCTATGGCGAAAGGTCGGGAAAGTACTTGGAATATTCCATAAAACACTTAAATGGTCTGGTAGAGATTTTCAATTGGATTCGATGTGTATCATGTGCCTACCCCCTTTCTTTCGCAACTAGGTTTAGATCCCGTTCCTCTCAGTGAAGGATAGGACCCTGTTTAGCCTAAGTTGCTTCATCCTCCCCGATTTCAGATAACTGCCGCCAAAGAGCTGATCAAAGCCTCACAGTGACAAACCACATGCTCGGTAGTTTCATCTGCCTCACTACAGAACCTACACGTGGACTCTCCTGCAAGCCTAATACTGTGGAAGTGCCCCGTGAGGAACCCGTGATCTTTAATCTGAGAATTGGAATTAGCTTAGATTTCACGAAAAAATACAAAGGCTGGAAAGATTGGTCACAAACTCGGATATTTCTTTGGATGAAAACAAAAATATACAAACCATTTTTTGCATAAGCTTTCAAACAACTTGATGATCTCTCGTTTAGAGTTTTTGTTTTTTCACTTTTTTAGGTTTACAAAACAATCGCATAACTAACGTTTTGTGAGCGACTTCTCCCTGGATGTGGGAACCTGAAGCTTTTCTTTTACAGTTACTGGGGCTGGTTTAACACATTGGAGAAGGAATCAGGTGATTTTTTTTATGTATTCTTAAAAAACCCGACGATTTGAATGACTCCAACTGCAGCTTCCGGGAAAAGCCGTCTTTCATGTCGATTGCTTAATTCGCCAATTTCCATTGTGATCCTTTTGAGTCAGTACAAATTTTGGAGTTGGTAAAATTGCCTTTAACGGTTTGTTTATAAGTTTCAGGTTTAGTGTGCGGGAAACCCCTTTTGCAAACTTTTCACCTTGAGTAATTTTACACCATAAATTTATGTTGAACGCTTATGTATCAATTTGGATATCTTAACAGTACTAAGAGCACCACGTTTGTTTCTTTCATCAAAAGAATTGTAAAAAAAATGAGCAAGTGTTCAATTGAGATACATTACAATATCTTAATAATAGAGAAAGCATAAAATTTGTTCTATGCAACAAAAAATAGTACAAAATGAGTACAAAAATCGCAGAAAATTACCAAATTTGTACCACACTGGAAACGAACACAATGTGAACAAAATTGGAGGTGAAAGAGAATCTTAATTCATGACACATGATTACATATATGAAGTCCGTTACGTCAATTAGCCTTTGTAATTCGCCCAACCCTTAACTATAGGACCAACCGCTTTTAAATCACAAATTTGTATCGTTAATTGTTGCATATAAATTGCTTTACGTGACGGATTAGGAAACTCGAATTGTCCAGTCTTTTGTTTTCAAGATGGTCCGCTGTTGCAATAAAAACTTTGGATCACATAGTTGGAGAAACGTGCAATGAAAGAAAATTGATACACTTTTCTTTTATATGGTGGACATTCTTCTTCCGTCTGCCAATTAATTCCGATCTGTATCACAGAAGAGCCCCGTTCTTGTGCTTTGTGCTATCGTTTTAAGGAATATGCAAAATTACTAAAAGCTCTAAACAGAGAAGCCGTCAAAAAAGCTTCTGCATGTTTTATTGCGAGAGCGGTAACATGGACTACGAGCAACACGAATTTCCCGTTATCCATTTCAGTTTAAGCGCTTCTGTGCCGAATGAAAACTTTAAGTGCCACAGTGACAAGCGTTCACCCTAAACTTTCGCTCAATCTTTCCGCGCGAGTGCACAGCAACCCATATTTTTTTGTTCACTTAAAGGAAACACTTTCATGTATCTTGCAACAAAGTTACACACAAAGTGTACGTGAACCTTTGCAACGTTAGACTAAAATCGTGATAAGGGTCGTAGAAACGAGCGAGCTTCCTTTAATCATAAAAGCTTAATCCTCCCTTATTCTCTTAATTAACCCAGAGCTCGCGTTCCAACTTATTAGTTTGTTTTTATGCAGCTTATTTCTGTGTGCAGGCCGTGGCGTAAACGCTAAACCAAAATGAATGGGAAGGATAATTTTTTTCATATTCACAGGGAATAACCGAACCAATTAACTGAGCGTCCGTCATGTACCAAAAGGGGTAGGAATTAAAACAAGTTGTAATTTTCTTACTAGTGAAACGTCCAATATCCTCGTAACTTCTGAGATGGTATTTCTCTTGTGTTTTATTAAAGGGAATCTCGGATATGACAGTATTTCCCTGAGGAAGGCAACCCTAACAAAACCCAAACAGATATCCGTGGATGCGGTCCGTACTGCTCTAGAAAATAATCCGTCGTAAATTGAAATATGCAAGGAAAAAGTCAATCATTTTTGATTCTGCGAATTCAACCTGGAAAATGGCGAAGCTAACGAAATCTATGAGAAATGGAAACCTTTAATTAAATAACTTGGTAAAGCCGAACAGGATACATGGCTGCAGTCGTCGAACCCGGTCGTAAATAACGAAAAAACAAAAAAGAATCCTGACGAGCTTTCGTTTTATGTGCACTCCCTAAAAATCACGTAAACCCTCATATTGGGGTTGCTTAATAATTACCAGCGTATAAATCTCGGCGAGCCACCCACATTTATTAAACTTTAAGCTGACGCACTTCTTTAGCGGAGATGAATTAAAATTGTTATACATACGGACCGAAGGGAGCTTGGAAATGCGTGGGTGAAAATCGATTTCCGCTGGGAAACTACACGGTGACGCTCAACAAGTCATATACATTTCGAGCTTGGTTTTGCAGAAATGACAATGATAAACCTCCTGTTGCGTTTCCAATCTTTTTTTCTTCCTTCGTTCGCCTGTCTCGCGCGTGATTTATCGTCGCGTAATTGTGATATTCCGTAATGCTAACCCGTCTTTCTTTATTTTGCAGACAATCTGGTATGCCAGAAGCGCGACCCAACGTTATATCAGGGGATTAAGAGTGGTCGAGCTGCCACCAACTGTGTAAGTATCTAAGTAGTACTTATACGAAAAACCACTCGGTAAGCCCTTTCAGTTTTATATCATTTGGAAGTTTTAATCGGTACAGTAAAAAGCCTAAGTGTAAAGTACTGTAAGCGTCACAAAGATAAAGTGCTCTGGCAACTTTGATTGTGGGCATTCGGCTTACGTTGACGATCTTAGTTTATAATCTGCTTTATACAGAGTGTTATCTCTCAAAATACGTGAATAACTCTTATTTTTCGCTTTAGCTTTTGCAAGGAAAATGAGAAATATTTAGATAGACTAATTTTAGATCAATACCTGCGAGATATGACATACAGTGAATTTTTTTTAAATGCGAACATAGGAGTTTGCATGCAATGTAATTTCCCTATGTTCGATTTTAAAAAAAACACATCAATCTATTGAGTAGTTCAAATGAGTAGTAGATACAATTGACAGCTGTCATATTTTTAAAAATACCGCCGTCCAATTTAATTACGAAATCGGTTAGGTTATTGCTTATGCTCAAGGAGGACACTTCGAACATTTATTGTAATTGTTTTCGGTATTTATTTTCTTATTTTCTTCATTTATGTATTGAATAGATCAAATTAGTACAATACCAGGTGCAGATGACCTACAAATAATTGAAGGTTGGTTCACAATGAATAGTGATGTCAGGGCGTGCCATGTGAAGTCAAGTTTTCGTAAGTTTAAGAAAAATGTATCCTAAACTTGCTATGGCCTCACATGGCTTATTTAAAAAAATCTTACCGAGCGCTCTTCATCATAACGACTATAGAGTTGCTGTTCATAGTCACACAAGTTGCGCGATTTGGGAATGTGAACCGCGCACACCTCATAGATTGATGTGTTTTTTTTAAAATCGAACATAGGGAAATTACATTGCATGCAAACCCCTATGTTCGCATTTAAAAAAAACTCACTGTATATAACGATATAATAAGTCCTTCTGAAAATACAGTGTGACCAAATAGGAGATGAAAAATACTATTGGCGTATTAGGTACTTAATCTTGGTCGTAATTTTGGGATAGATTAGTCACAAAACCAATCATTTACAGACGAAACAAATTTATTTGACATAAAACAATCAGGATGAAAGAAAAACAGGGACTCAGGACCAGAATAACACACTTTAAATTTAATTAGCGTACGCAGAGACAACAGTTCTTATTGCAGATCAGAGAAAAACATGAGATAAATTTTTTCAATTAATATTACCCAAATTATTTCGGGTTTAAATCTAATTTTATAACACGTAATTTCTTTACAATTAAATAACTTAATTTTTTTAACGAAATTAACAACTAAGTTCTGATGTAAAAGGTAAAACAAAATCGACTTTGAAATAAAATGATATGGTCGGCATTACGTTCAATCCTACAATCACTATAGAGATACGGTGATCTTATTTTCCATTGGTAGTTTGGAGATCCGCCATGTTTTGACCAAATACATCGGATTGGTACAAATTAACAAGGCGATGAATTTAACTTGCTGGATACAATGGTGACAGCATTATTGTAACCATAGCAAAAACTACTAATTCGGTTAAACCAAGGAGCTCAATAATAAATTGGAAACAACATGGCCAGCATGGAGCATTATGGCCACTCTTTATACAGTCACTGTATTCAATCCCAACCTCCCCATCTAACGTTAAAAAAAAATTGAAATTAAATATACAGGATGACCCATTATTACTGCAGGATTTTTTATTGTTATTTTTAAAGAATTTCACCCATAAATTTCGTATTTTTCTCGTCATCCAAGCAAATGTTTGGTTACTGCCTTTGATATTCAGTTTTTTTGTTCAGTAATGTTTTGCGGGAAAAGTGAAACACCTCCAAACAAAGCAACAGGCAAGGGTTAGGTTCATTTCTACTTCCGGTCTAATATTTGATCTTGGCAATTTACAACGGAAGCCCTTTAATGATGTTTATTTTTTTAATTTTTTAGGGTTGCGAGTTGTATTTACTTTAGGTAGCTCAATTTTAGATGTTAAGTATTGGAAACTATACAGAGGTTCCCTTAGAGGACTGATTATTTCCAAAAGTTGTTTCCAAAGTTTTAAACGAAAATAGTTTCCGAATGAATTTGGCTATGCATCGTTGATCGGTTAATGGCTTAGAAAAAGTGGCCAGGGCCAGTCTGATCGGCGATAATACAATCTTAATGTCATTTACGGTATAAAAACGGATAAATCAGGATTACTCATGATTATATACAGGTTTCGCGTCATTAAAGATTGATAGTCCTTAGAGACGCGCGATTCGTTGGACTAAAAAATAAGAAAAGTACCGCGTTAACCTATAGCGCCACTTTATCGGTGGCCCTAGTTAAATTTTAAGAGTAGCGACGCGCTCCAGAGGGATAGCAGTAGAGCATTCGGTTTGATACAGAAGAACGTACGTACGTGGTCCGACACAACCTGTTTTTTCAGGCATTATTTTCGCGAGTATTCCACCGTCGAAAATCAATAAAGTAACAAAAACAATTTAATTTGCGGCTCGAATTAGGAAAAATATCACGCAAATTCAGTAAAAAATAAAATCTCTTGGTAAAATCAGCGTATGCTAAATTCTGTATCTCGGAGTGCCAAAAAATTATAGTTACTCGCGGAATCTCCCAGAAAGTAACTTAACAGCTAGTGTGGAGCAAATTAAGTCAGTTACGGTGTGGTCTTTCAATGACGTAATAATATCGAGTAAGAAGAAGTAGGCCGAGAGCGGACATAAAAAGTAGACGATTCAATTCCCTAACAATTACACAAGGAGCGTTAATCTTACCCCCAGCCCAGAAGAAATTCAGCAGCCGTCCTTCCGGAGATCCTGCTTTCATCAAATATTGTCTAGCGCCATCTCTTTGAGATTTTCCCTACCATTTTGTACCACACGTAAACATAGACTCCAAAAAAACGTTATAATTAAGGTAAAGTAACTTTTTTGATTTGTACAAAAAACAACGATCGGTTCTCTTTAACGAATTGCGTTAAAAAGTAATCAGAAAATTCTTGAACGGGTCGGTTTATGTAAATTGCCTGAGTGAATCCGCATTGTTAATATATTACAACATAATTATGTTTGGGCCAGTTGAGTTTTATTAACTGTAATAATGTATTGTTTTTTTTGTATAGAATTGCTATAGGTATTTCTTATCGTGGTTGAAGGTTAGATAGGGGTAGGCTAGAAAGAAACGTGGCCATGCAATAGGGCGTATACCTTCAATATCCAGTAAAATCTTTAAGTAAGAGAAATATAAGATAAACTCGGATCTGGATTGATTTTTATTATACAGGGTCGCTTATATGTCCGAAAATAGGGTTCTTCAATGACCCTAAAACTACTGCATAAACCTTTTTACGATAACCGACCATTTACATATCAGCGACCCTGTATAATAAAAATCTTTTCTAGGCAGTAATAATTTTAATTCTACAGAGTAGGTCACAAAGGTGTGTCACACCCAAATTGCATCTGTTTAACGAAATACCCTGTACATTATTCAATTCTTGTAAAATTTTTAAAAAGCACAATGTATCACTACATTCAATCGTTCCCGGGTTATCGTGGGTTGTGGAGGCGTAAAGCTTGAAGCACACTTTTCCGGACGGAACCGATAAAGACATGAAAAGGATGCAGCGAAATGTAGAGAAGGCGTGAAGGATATTTTAAGGCGAAGCGACCAATAAATACGTGATAAAGGGGCGTTAAGAAAGGGTACTAAGAAATAAATCCTGGCCAAAAGAGATGTAATGAAAAAAAGAGAAATGAAAAATGAGAGAGATGAAAATAACTGAGATATCACCCAAAAACTGAAAATGACAGATTTCATTTTGGACAGTTCGTGTTAGCAGCTTCTGTGGGCGTCTTTTTTCGGAATCTGTTATCAGAATTTCCATAACAGGCAATTAAATGAAAATTTCAGTAAAGCAAAATTATCCAAATCGTTTGTTGGTGATCCGATTGTTATCAATAAGTACAATACAAAATCTGTTCACGGAACTAAATTTAATGGGTCGATTCCTTTAAGAAATGAGTGCGTGAAAAATATCGCTGGACCACGAAATCTTGTATCAATGTTGTGCACGTCAGTTCTAAATGTAGTACATTTAGAACTGACGTGCACAACATTGATACAAGATTTCGTGGGAAAATTTCTCCTCCCCTCCATTCTACTGCTTTATTTCAAAGGTCATTTTCATATAATGTGTATCGTTATTACAACTGTTTCTCAACCGAGTTAGTAAATAGTTCTCAGAAAACGTTTAAAGTCAAAATTCGTAATATGTTAATGAACGAGCATATTCTTATTTGAGCATATTTATATTTGAAACTAATTCTACTGCTTAAGTTGTTATAGTTTCGTAAACTCCGTTCACTTCATTTTTTTTGTATTAATTTTATTATTAGATTTTTGATTTGGATTGGATGCATAGTAAAATATTACTTAGAATCACAGAATGATAGGTTTAGTTAGTAATAAGCAACATTTTTGTTGTTATTTGTTATTTAATTCAGGGTTTAGGTGGAAGAACAGCGTTGCTGAACCTCGCCCTGAGATTATGCTGCATATATACTGCATAATAAAGCATATTTATTATTATTTATTACTATACGGTATATTTGAGTAGTATTACCCACGCTAAAATGTTTCTTCGCGTAATTTTATCACTTCTAAATACACGGCTTTGTCCGGATTAAGTTGCTAAAAAGTTTTCTCTCGACCTGTAATCGTAATTTTACTGCATTTCGTATGTTTGTACACATCCAAAATTGCAGATAAGTCGTAATTCGTTGCGAACCCACATTTTAAGGGGTCGCGGCACTTGATATGTTTTTTACCCAAAGTTATACCGCTAATACTTTACTACTTCTTGGAGAGATTTCACTCAATAAAATGTCCGTTCTTGTTCTTAAAATCGCACACGAATCATTTCACCTAAGCAAGGATAATGATACGTGGTCGCTCCAAAATTTTTAAAAGTCCGTACGT